TGCCTGGCACATGGTGTGTGGAAACAAGTAGAGGCTGTGGGGATACCTCAGGTGTCTGTGAGTACATCTCATGTTTATGCCCATCTTTTAGAGAAGCAGAGGAATGACCAAATGCTTCAAGCTGGCAGCGCAGTCTGAGGTATTTCCATGGAATGAATGGTGTTAAGCAACGAGACTTTCTTCCCTTTGGGAAATGGGAAGGAGATGTCTCCGCTGATATTATTTCTATTTTCTTTGGGTTTTTCTCTTACAGAGTCCCTGCAAGCTTTTGCACTTTGTTCAGGCAGAGTAAACCCCATCTATTCTCATTTCTTTATTTTGTAAATGCTGAGAGTATTTTGGAGGTGCAGCATTGCACTGGCCATAACAAAGTGTGAACACTGACCTGTCTGACCACTCTGCATTTCCTGCCATGAACAATAGTGACAACAGAGAAGCTGGTGCTCGTCAGAAAGCCTCTTGCTGCCATTCCGGGAGCTAATTTTTCGAAGCCATTTTTTAATAAACGGATTTTCTTCCAGACATGGGCTGCTTTCCTGAGGCAGTTTCCGTCTTCTCGTCTTCTCAAACAGCTGAGCCGGGGGGGGGGGGGGGCCCCGTTCCTTTCACACCAAAGCCAATGACAAATCCTATTTAAACACTCCGATCCGGCTGGACGTTTCTATATGCGAAGGAACACACAAATTACCATATCTTATCGGGTCATTTAGGCAGCTCCTTCTGCTGCTAATTGTGAGCATTTGCTCCTTTGCGATGCAGTTTGTGCCTTTGAAAGCAAACACCCTCAATCCTCTTTGCGGTCCGGTTTTGTGCTCTTCTCCTGTAAACACTCAACACTTTATAAAAAAACAACTGAGCAATGATTTGATAGATTTTTATTTTTGTTTTTAACCAGATGAGACGGCGAAGAGGAGAACGAGTGAATGTTAATGTTTGTTTTCTGTGCGACCATGAAAAGAAAAGGAATCCTTTGTGAAACAGAGTGCTGCTGTGCTGCTGCTGGTGAGTTGCACAGTCCTACTGGGACAATTTGGTGCCTCGTCAGGGCAACCCCGCGTCGCAGAGATGCTGGCAGTGCATTGGGGTGGAGCAGCTGCGATCTGGCTGCGCCGTTTTCCCCTTATCCCCGTGGATGTCCACCCCACTGAGCGGCTACACGCTGTGAGGTTGCAACAGCAGGGCGCTCGGGGCAGTTAGTTTGCAAATCTGGGGTGTGCTGGGAAGCTAAACCCAGCAGCCCGACACCTTTCCTATCCAGGATACCCCCACGGTCCCTCGGATCCCCCTTCCCCAGCAGACCCTCCTATGTCCTGCCAGCTCCGAGCGGCATCATCCCCACGGGGCCGTTGGGACCCCGCCCCCCACGCTCCAGGTGTGCCGCCCCGGGACGGCGCCGCAGCCCTCCGCCCTCCGATGGTGCGGCCCCGCCGTCCGCTCGCGGTGCCCCCCGTCGGGTCCCTCCCGTACCACCGTCCCCATCCCCGCGTGCCCCGTGGGGGCGGTCCCGCCGTCCCGCACAGGTGCCGGCGATTGGGTGGAATATGCAAATGTCGCGCTGACGTCAGGCGGCTCCGGCCCAGAGAGCAGAAATAGGGCCGCCCCGGCCCGCGCCGCGTACACGGCCGCCGCCGCTCCCGCCCCGTCCCGCCGTCCCGCAGGTGAGTGCGTTCTGCGCGGCCGTACCCGCAGCTCTCCCGTCCCGCTGGGGGTTCCGCGCCGCCCCTCCGCCGTGCGAGATCCTGGAGCGCTGCCGTTGTGCGGGGAGAGCCCGCGGGGGACACTCCGCCGTGCGCTCTGCCGGGGATGCTGCGGCTTCGTCAGTTCTCGGACAGCGATCTTCTTTCCGCCCCCCGAGTCCCGCGGCGTGGGGAAGAAGAGGGGAAGGTTCCTTCCGTGCGGTCGGGGCGGTCCCTTCCCGGCGTTGTGCTGCGGCAGGGCCGCACCGAAGCGGGCGATGCCGACGTCCGCGGTGCTGAGCGTCCCGCCGCGGTCGCGAGTGGGGATAGCGCTTCCCCCGGCGGCCTCCGGGTGGCGCTGTGGAGCCGGAGCGCCCCGTCAGGTCCGCGCGTGGAGCGGCGGGGGACGCGGGCGATGCTCGGCATCCGGCGCCTCTGTGCCGTTATCTCACCGCGGCGAAGCGGTGCGGTTCTTACTGGTGGCGATCCCGGGCACGCTGTCTTGTCTAAAGCGCTTTCTTGCGTTGGGAATGAGTGGTTTTGTGGTGTTGCCGTGCGCTGAGCCTCGGAGCCAACCCGCGGCAATACGGCTCTGTCGGGTTCGGGAGTTTCTTCGTGGTCCTTCGTCCCCGCGGGGCTGATGTTTCCCAGCGTTTCTTTCTGGGAGCGCTGAAGTGTCTTGAAGAATTGGAAGTGAAATTTTCTTTGAAATATTCATAAGTGTGCTTTTGCTCGAAAGCAATGCAGCAGTCGTGCAGTTGGTTCCAGCGAGTTCTTAATGCATCCAAACTTTGTCTGTGTCAGATGGTGCAGAGAGCTGGCTGAAATCATTGCCTTCCCTCTGCTTTGCTGAAAGGCTTTTCTAGAACGGATCTTTCCTTGATTTTGTAACTTTCTTACACTTGATGAGAATTTCTGGACGTCGGCGTTAATTGCAGAGCCCAGAAATGCTGTTTAGGTGAGGCTGGAGCAGTGGGAGCGGTTGGTGGCAGAGGAATGAGGATCACATTCTTATCTGGTGTCATCAGAGCCAATTTACAGAGGTAAAGCTCTGGTCTGAGTGCTTTCCTTTTGCTATGGCAACAGCCATCGTTTCAGGTAATTAAGTTGATTCTCATTCTAATGTGAAGCTCATTGGAAATTAGTGAAAGCTATTGTGAGCTATTAATTTCTCAGCCCTAAAAAAAAGCCAAAAAAACCAAGCTGCGATTGAAGGAGCCCTGAACAGAAAACCCATTTGAAGAATGGTTTGGGTAAATGGCTTCATCTCCTTGTGATCACCTCAAGGCATTCCAAACGCTTCTTCTGTGCTGGGGAGGAAGAAGTTGTGAGCTCTGTGCAGTGATCCCGCAGCCTGACTGCTGGCTGTGCATCACGGAGTGCTCTGAGCAGCTCGGGGGCTCTGTGCTCCACTGGCCCTTGGATCAGTCCCTGTCTCTTCAAGGTGACCCTCTTTTTTGCTGGAGCAGCCCTGAGACCTGTGCTGGTGCCTTTGGTTTGGCTGCTTGCTGTTGTTCTCTTCATTCAGATGCGTTGCACTGATTCTTATTTTGTCCCTGTGTTGGTGTGTGCACAAACCCATCTGAGTACAGGATGGGCCGTTCTTGGGCTGTTAATGGTGCTGCTGGAGCCTTTCCTGGTAAAACAATGCCAGCTGCAAGCCAGGCTGCAGCTCTAGATCAGTGCAAGGAGCCATGAGCTGTAGGTGAATTTAGCTTTTCTGTAGCACAAGAGCATGAATGGTTTTGGAAGGAATTGCCCTGAAACCGAAGGAGGTGTCATAAATAGATGTGGTGCTCACCTTTGTTGAAAATAGCCGGGTTTAATTTTGGTGCTTGTGTTACACAGGAGGTTGGTTGGTTGCTCTCACAGGTTGCAGAGAGCAGGTGGGTGGCACTGCCCCCTCCCCCCTTGGGTTCCAGGGGGCTGCTGGTGTTTAGCTGCAAACCTTGTTCATGGTTTCACCTGTGCAGCAGCGCGTTTCGTGCCTGGTTTCTGTTTGTGAGCTTGCAGTGCTGTGAGCAGTGGTGTCTGTATGGGCTCATCTCCTGCAATCTGTGCCTTGCTCAAGTGAGGAAACTGCTAGTAAGCTTGGATGCATTTTATAGCGGGGATCCAAATCTATCCCATTTGAATTTTTCTTTTGACTTTGGGGACTGGACCACAATCCCATGGCTGTGCTGTGTGGTGCAGCTGTGGATCAGGCTTTGCAAGGAGGCTGTGGCTTGGCTGTGTGACACAGGTGTGCAGCTCAGCGGTGTAAATGCAGAGGGAGCTTTGGGATATCAGGTGACACAATCACTGTGTGTCTTCAGTTAACTCTTGCTTGGTATTTATGGTGCATACTTGTCGCTTGGTTTGAGCTATTTGGTTGCATAATATGTATGTCTTTCCCTTGTTTTGAATGGGAACAATTAACATGCTGTCAGTCGGTCTGCAATGAAAATAAGTAACTTCTAAACCGAGAGGATGTTTGACCAATTCCATTTCTAAAACCAGCGTGCAGTTGCTGCCCTATTGGATTCATTAGTGTTATTGCATCCTAATCCAAGCATCATTGTGTTTTCCAGCAGTTGTTTACTAAATACACATGAAAGTAGCCAGCTCTCTGTTTTGCTCTAGGACTGGGATTTCAAGCAGCATACGAATGAGAGGTCTCCAGAACTGCAAAGTGAGAGTATTTGCTGTGATGCTATCAACAGAGAATACCAAATACCTCTGTAAAACGTGAGAAATAGTACTGCTCTGTAAGAGCAATCCATAATGTAACAATGTACTTGTAGCTTATTGATATAGTGACTTTGGTTTATTAAACATTTATTTGTAGCCTCAGTAACATTACATCTGAGGCTTCTAATTGGAATTTAGAAAGGCTAATAAATTTTGATTTCATCCTGAGTGCTCTCAATTCAGGGTGTTTACATTAGCGCTGAGGAAAAGCAATGCCTTAACTGCATGGGTGAGTGGTGTGCAGCGACTGCTGGCTGTGCTGGCGTTGTTGGCAGTGTATTTGGGCAGCAAACAGACCGAGGCAGCATTGGTGTGAATGGTCACGGCTCCAAAATTAATAGCGATGTGCCAAGCCTTGGATATACCCTGCAGCAAATGCACGGTATGAAAGAGCTGTAAAATGAGCTCTGTCAAGGCAAGGTATGTCACGGTGACTTAATACAGCTGGGCTTAATTTTGCCATTAGCAGGTAACATGTCTTGTTAATGCATATTGCTCAAACCAAGCAGCAGCCTGTCACTTGCATGTTATAGAAATGCCATCTCCTGCTTCATTAAGTGGTCATTATGCTTCATTATGGTCTGTGTTAGCAGATGCTGTGAAAGGTCAAAGCTTCCCTCAGCTCCTGTGGAAATGGAACTAGGGTGAGGACTCCTTTGGTATTTTCTTTATGAGAAGTAATGGCACAGGTTGGTGGAGATGCAGAGCTCTCTGGCTGAGCTGTTCTCCTGGAGCTGCCTGCGCCTTGGGATGCTCTTGGCAGCTCTTCCAGGCATTAGCTCAGGGTTATGCACATAAGCAAACATGCAGCAGTTTCACCTGGCAACCCTATGAGTAGCTTGCATTTGTATTCTTCTGAACTAAAAAAAAAAATACAAGCTCACTTTAAAAGCCACTTTTCACATCTTCTAATTCCCTGCCAGAGAGCGGGATAAGCGGAGAAATCGCAGCCTCAGGAGAGGCTGACATGGATGAGGGGTGGGAGCAACACATTGGACCTCTTTGGTACAGAATTGTTGTTGGTCTCTCAGGTTTTGGTGGGGTCAGGGACCACTGGCCAGGTGCTGTCATCTGGAAGAGGCTTGGCAGCTCCTGTGTGCCAGCTGGAGCCCCAGGCTGCTGGCTGGCCTTGCAGCTCTGAGTGCAGCCTCTGCCCGGGGCAGCATCATCCTCTGAATGTGAGAGGAATAATGATTCTTAGTTGCATCACCTTGTTTGGTATGGTTTGCTGCTCATTACAGGTTTGGAAATCCCAATGCTCCAGTTTGCAGGGGTTGTGCAGGAGCAGGCTGGGAGCAGCGTGCCCTGTGGGGAAATAGCTCACAAAGCTGTTGCCATATGGGAATTCATTGCCTGCACACTGATGGGTGCAGAATAGGAAGGCTGTGTCTCACTGAATGCGCCATGGGAGTCTGCAAAGCCCCGCCAGCAGTTACCAAGCGGAGGTGGGCTCTGTTGGCTCCTGCCACTTCCTTGAATCTGAGCTGGGTTTTATTTTGAGCCTGTTTCATGACTGTTCTCTTGTTTTCAACAGACGTGAAATGATGAAGTCGAGAAATTTTCCGTTGTCTCTCGTTTTGCTTGGGGCTTTCCTGTCGTTCACAAGGGGATGGATGGACTTGGATGGGAGCAGACGGCCGCTCTCAGACCTGGGGAGGCTGCACCAAGAGGTACGGCAGATCGGCTGCTGCTGCTCCAGCTCCTGTGTTTGTGCTGTTCTCAGGTTTTCTGTACTGTGAAGACAGAACAAGTGGGGGCTTACATCTGTGTATTTGTACAAAGCACATGCTGAGGAGGTCAGATGAGAAGCAGTGATTGTGTAGAGGCCATGAAGTGTGAGAAGCTGTAGGTCTGGGAGTAAAATTGTGCACCCGGTTGTATTGGAGATGTGGTCTCAGCCCCCAAAGGCTTCATGGTTTGCTCTGTCCTGGGGCACTGGGACAATTGAGCTAAATTTAAGGAGCGAACTCTGACCTGGATCTGTTTGGGTCACTGAGGCTTCAGGTGAAACCTGAAGAAGCCCTTTCCCTGCTTAGCCCAAGGGAAACTGAGGCATGCGTAGTTCTGAGGGGACCAGCAAGCTTAAAAGGCCACAGGATCCCTGCTGCAAAGCACAAAGCCATCACGAACATACCGAGGTGGTGGTGTGGCCTTAATGAGTGACAGTGATGTTGATTCAAGCATAAGGGGACCTGAATGCATGGCCTGAAAGGGGAGGTGGGTGCATCAATGCAGCGTGGTGATGCCCAGCAGCATTCAAGCCCTGGGTTTGTGGTGGTGGTGTAGCAGCTGAACCCACTCTGTGCTGAAGGTGACCCTGTTGACTTTCCTTGTGGTGATGCTGGTTAGGAGTCTGCTCCCTGCTCTGTAATGTGTCCCACGTAGGCTGTCCTCACCAGAATTTGCAGTGTGATCTTTCTGCTCAGATTCTCACCTTGCTGAAACAGAGGCGAGACAGCAGAGCCGTAAAGCTCCAGAAGTATGATTTTCATAAGAATAAAACGATGAATGCTGGAACAATTTTAATTATTTAATGAGTTTCTGATTACTACAGGTTTGCTAAATGATTGCTCAAATGGTTGGAAGTGGGATCTGGTGGGGAAGCAAGAGGAAGGACACGGGTATTTTGTTGCCTCAAACGCTTGTGTGCTGGCAGTCAAGCTAACAATGAGCCCGTGATGGAATCCTGCAGCACTCAGATCTATTTAAGTCTCAGGATTTTTTTGTTCTACTTGGAGAATCCCATTTCTTCTGGCTGACTCCCAACTACAAATACCTGTTTTTGTGTGCTTAATTTCAGTGCAGCAGCTTAAGGCAGTGGAAAAGATGCTTTTTACTGTTTAGCAGGCCTGACAATCCTTTGAATGGAGTTGAATGTTGTGCAATTCTGAGTTCTGCCACAGGTGTTTTTCCCTTGAGGTGTCCCTCCTCTGTCCTCTGTGAAGGAAATGGTTCCCCTCCTCTCCCCTTGTATTTTGCTGCTATCTGGAGTCACCATATGCAGGCACTGTGATGTTAAGCATGTTTCTGTATTGCCTGAGATCACTTTTGCCCTCTTATTAAAGCAAAATGAGTTTTTGACGTGTTTTTGCATCTCAAAATGAAGTCATTCCTCACTAATGCATGTTTGTTACGATTTTTGAAAATGTTACCCTAAATAATTAAATTCATTACTCAAATGATTTTTTTAATATAAACTGTAGAACTATTACAAGACATGAAAGGCGCTCATTCATTTGATCTTGCTCTAAAAACCATGAAGTTATTGCACCAATTACTTGATGTTGCTTGAGGTGAAAGGATCTAAGCTGGAAATGTATTTGTTCCGATTTGTACAGAATTGATAGCAGGTGTGAATATTAAAACTTTTAATGTACAAAGGATGCAGTTAAAATAGCTTCAAGGGGTGTCAGAATTCAGGTTTTTTAATAAATTAACTGCACGGAAAGCTTGTTCCAAAAAATGATGCTGTTATGGTGCAACACCAAAATGAATCTGAATACTGAATGCAGCTTTAAGGCAGGGCAGTGAAATTGAGAACTGCTGTTTTCTCTCAAAATGCATTCATTATCTTTCAGGAAATGTAGTCTTCATACGTTTTGTAACGAAACAGTTTGATCTTTTTCTAGTGATATTGGCTTTGATCAGATGGGAGTTCATCTCCTGTGCTGCCTGGTGGTGGCTGTTTATCCATGGGACCCGTGGCATCTGGCAGCTCAGAGGCTGCAGTCTGTGCCATCCTGCCACGCTGCTCTTTATTCATTAGGAATGTTTGTTAGTTACCAAATACGTGGCTGCTAATTAATGTGTAATTCCATAAACACGCGTTTAAAACGTTGAATCACAAATGGAAAAGCTCCAAGTGATTCTGAAATTGCTTTAGGAATACATAAAGGGTTAACTTACAGGTGAAATAATTTGGAGCGTGCTCTGATCTGAAATGCCTACAAACTTCATCAAAGCAAACGCTTGGCTGTGGGTCACTGACCTTCACTAATACTTGTTCCTATGTAGATCACAACAAGTTTCCTGAATCAAAAACATTACTTAATTTATGTTCAGATTGCCAAATCGATTTCTTCATGGTCTGTTGTGAAATTATTGCAGCTGTGCTTTGCATTTATAAAGGGAAAAATAAGTCTTGAGGCCACAGACTGCAATATACACTCTTCTGCATGAGAAATTAACTTTCCAGCACTGCACTGATGTTTCCCTGATGCTCAGCCTTCCACCTCTCAGATTTGTGGCTGTTCCTGAGAAGAGATTTGTTTTCTGAAATATTTTTAGTCTTGATTGGAATAGCAATAAACATGTGGAGGCAGTCTGAACTTCCTTGGGCATATAATGAACTAAAATAGGAAACCTAATTAAAAAGGATGGTGTTAGTACTGCACTGAAAAGCATCAGCTTGCCTGGTCCGCATTAATCCTGGAGGATGATGCTGTTGCTTTTGCACTGTGAACCTTCTCAGGCTCCTTCTGCAGGCTGCTCCAACACTTCTACAGCTCCTGGGTGCTGCACGTGGAGCATTGTGCATCTGGCATCTGCAGCTTTCTGGGGTGAGCCATCAGGAACCAAGTCCTTCTGAGCAGAATACGTGTAAAAACTGCTGGATATATAGAGCTGCTCAGCTCTGGGGTGAGACTCATGGGAAAGGCTTTGCTCTGCATTCAGCAAAGTTGTTTTTGTGCTGAGGTTGATCAGTGGCTGGTGACTCTGCACACAGCAGGGGGGGTTGAAACTAAAGGATCCTTTTCATCAGAGGCCATTCTACGATTCCGTGATTAGAGGTGGCCATGCTTCATGGGCGGCTCTGTGCAGTCCTGGAAGGGCTCTGAGGTGCCTCTGAGGCAAAGTATGGGGTGTTCTGAGATTTCTGTTCCCTTCTTATGTGGGAAGGAGCTCTCAGAAATGCATTTTTGTGAGTCAGTGCTCTGAGGTCATAGTAACTGATTTTTTTTTTTTTTCCAGCTATTGGGGCGCTGTACCAAAGTATCTTAGTGAACATTCATATTTTCCCTCTGTTGCAGTCAGTATGAGGCTGCTTTTCTGTCTGTGCTGAAGCCAGGCTGCTTGCCATGTTTCCTGGGGCAAGTTTCTCCTATGAGAAGGGAAGGCACAGTTCTCAGCTGGTGCTTCATCAGAGCACTGCTGCAGGTCATTAGCAGGACTCCACCCGCTGAAGGGAACACAAATATGCTGGCACAGTGCTGCACCTTCCATTAAATCTTGTATTATCATGTTTTGCAGGGTGCAGCTGGCAGGTAGCCTGGCATATTTGGTAGCGGCTGGATAGTGTGAAAGTTGAGAATAACCCTGTGCTGTTGCTGTTCTAACAGTGGGATTTGGATGTTCCTGATAGCTCCCAGGTCGCAGTGCAGGTTGGTGGGCATTGGGCATTTTGCCTCTTTGGGCCACTGAACCAGAGCTGTTCCGATTTTGTAGAAATAATCTCATTCAGGCTTGGGTTCCTTGATCATTTTTGCCTACGATTGTCACCTTATGCCTTTAATTATATAATCAGCCTCAAAGTATCGTGTGTAGCTGTGCCAAGTCTTACTTATTTTTATGCTAATGGCTGTTGAAAACATGTTCTTTTTTAAGGTGACAGTTTTCTTATTGGCATCTGGAAGCTTTTGGCTGTGTAGATTATCTGTTGTTTGACTTGCTCGTTACTTATTACTTGCATGGCACCAGCACCACTTAAAATCTGCACATAATAAATGTCACCTTCACCTGCACTGTGACTGCAGCCATCTGAGTGGTGCCAACCCTCCTGCACAGGGTGAGCCATCCCTGTGCCCATGCACAGACTGAACTGTGCTTCTCCAGGAGCATCAGTTACTCCTGGAACTTCTAATCACCTGCAGGTTCTTGCATGTTGTTTCACTTAATGCTGCAGCTAAAGACTGCAGCTGCTTAATCTGAGCAGCAGGGGAGTGATGGGGATGGTTTTGTGCTCTTTCCCCCAGCAAAGTTTTATTTCTGAATCTGACTGGGAAGGGAGCTCTTTGGGAAGTAACATACAAAACTGCAAAGGCTTTGGATAAAAGCTTTTGCTTATAATTCAAATAGAGGCATAATTTCAGAGCATGAGCTTGGAGTAAGACAGGCGCAGTGTATCAATTTTATATGCAGTTGAAGATCTAATGTCCTGGTATTTATTTTAGGAATTATTATTAGTAATGTATTCTGTGTGTGTGTTCTCTTCCTGCCTGTAAGTCAGTTTTCAGAAAGGAAGGAAGGAAAGAAACAGCTGAATTAAAATCTGTGCTGGGTTCCAGCCTGTCCCTCCTCTAAACATTTATGAAGGTGAAGGGAGACAAACAAAACCTACATTTATTTTTGTATCACTCAGTTGTTCACTGATAACCCACTCCTTGTTACGTGCATCTGTGGCATCTCTAACAAGCCGCAACTGCTGCTTGTAGACCATTCCAAATCTAAACTGGTGCATTATCCCTTTGGAGATGAAAAGCTTTTCTTCTGTGCCCTGGGTGTCAGCATATCCGCAGTTGAGAGTGCTGTGGAATATCTTCATGGTGCTTGGATACACGTTAGGGTCCTTCATCTGGAGTTGGGTTGGGTCTGAATGCTGCCTCTTGATGAACGGTGGGACTGTGAGGATGGGGGCACCTGGCTCTGCTGAGCGGTGGCACAGACTGACCAG